TGAGCTTTGAATCACCTCCAGGTTACTTAGACTACTTTGTACAATGTAAATGCTATGCAAAGAGTTTTGTACTCTGTTGTTTAGGGAATAGCCAAGAAAAAGGTCGGGTGCAATTATTTAAAAAAAAAAAACAAAACAAAAAAAAAAACCTTTTCAATTTGTGGTTGGTTGAATCCAAGGATTGAGAATCCAGAAATACCAAGGGCTGATTATTCTGTGGGGGGAAAAAAAAAAAAAAGCAAAATTAATTAGACAAAATAACTAGACCAGACTAGCATGGTGCTAATAACTACACTAAAAATGTATTTGGAGCTGTGAGAGAGATAAAGAGGGTCACCTGGCCCCGGGTCCTTTCAGGTGATGAGTGGACCATGGTGATGACACCAGCTGAGGCAGGAGCCTGGCCCACTATAGTCCAGCTTCTCCACCACTGGTGGCATTTTCCAATTGGTCTCTAAGGTCCAGGGAGTCCTGGGGCTGCAGCCCTGAGTCCCCACTGAGTCTCAGAGAATACCACACTGGCTGAAAGCCTCCTCGTGCTTTGAGAAATCAAAACTGGCAGTATTCAGTGACCTTCCTGTTGCCTTAACGTCTTTGCTCACTTCCTGCTTCCTGCTCACCTAAGAGTCCAGGAAGAAGCTGTGATATGGATTTATTAACTGAGCCCAGGCTGAGGAGCACAGACTGAGAGCCCCCCGGAGGGGCCCGGCAGGAACTGTTGCTAGCACCAGGAGCGAGGTGTGGCCTTGAATGTGATTTGGAAAGAGATGTACAGGTGCTCTCGGTGCTCTGTGGGCCAGGGCGGTTCATGGCTGCCCTGCAGCCCTATCGACCTGGCCGGAAGCTTCACAGTCAGGTGCGAGATGGGCTGAGTTAGACAGCTGAGCCCRAGGAGAAGGGCAGGGCATGGCAGTGAGATAGAGGAGGCGGGAACAAGGTGAGACCCACTTGGAAAGGGGCTGACGTGCCAGGTGAAAAATAGGAACACAGTTTAGTTCTGTTGGGTCAACCAAGGCAGAAGGGCACTGGGAATGTTGCAGAAAACATAGCTTTTTTCGTATCATCATGTTAAATTTTCTTATGTAAAAGAATGAAGCCTTTATTTCATAGGGTTATTGTATGGCTCCAGATAGGTAAGGCAAACTCAGAAACGTCATTTTACATCCAAAGGAGCCAAGGAAAATCAAAAAGCACGATACAAAAGTTGAGTGGTAGAGTGAAGAGCATGGGGGTGTTAAGATGGCAGATATTCTGATTTTTAATACTCTATAAGGAAATGTAATTGCAGAAAGTGACATTGTGAGGCGACTGTTTTCATTGTTAGCTATGATCTGAATGATGGCTTAGTCTAACATCATTGAGCAATTGCTATATAAATGCTTTACATGTATTGACTCATTCCACTGTTGCAGCCAATCGTTGCTACGTGATTTCTGTTTTCCAGGTGAGAAACTGAGATTGAGAGGCGTTCAGTTACTTTCCCAGTCAGGCGGGTGCATGATKGAAGATCTGAAGTTAGGCAGTGGGGTTCTAGAACCACTGAGTTAACGACCAAGGAGAGAGCTGAGGGCTTCTTGCCCATACAGGCACTGGACAYGTGGAATGGAATCATCTAAACAGACGAAACACACACAGCATAGAGTTTGCCATCTGAACCGTGTTTGAGTGTGCGGCTCAGGAGAGTGGTACTTACCCTGAACCACCATCGCCACCCATCTCCAGGACTTTCTGTCTCCAGAACTGGAAGTCTGTACCCACTTCACACCAATCCTCAGTCCCCCTTTGTCTCTGATGACCAACATTCTACTGTCTGGGTCTATTCCCTCGACTCCTTATCTCCGTAAGGGARGTCGTACGTATTTGTGTTATGCCACTTACCACCATGTCCTCAAAGTTCATGTTGCAGCAGGGGGCAGGATTCCTTCCTTTCTAAAACTGAATGAAACTCCACTGCATGGGAATATCCTACATTTAGCTCAGCCCTTCATCCTTCAGTGGATGTTTGGTTGCACCTACATTTGGCTATTGTGAATTATGCTGTCCTGATCTGGATACATGAATATCTCTATGAGACTCCACTTTCACTTCTTTTGATTATAAAACCAAAAGCAAAATTGCTGGGTCAATGGTAATTCTGTTTGTAATTTTTTAGGGAGCCATTATGCCCTTTTCCATATGAAATTGAAGTTTTTAATGCATGCATTCCACAATCAGCATTGTAATAGTGACAGCATTATTTAAAAACAAAACAAAACTCAACCCGAATTAGGCTGATTAGTGTTCTCGGTGGACAGGACTCTAAATGGTTTGTTCAACTTCTTTATTCAAAATCCAAGTAGAAGCAATGCTGAATTGGTTCATTTGGACACAGTCTTAAATGACATGAGGTTTGGTGGGCTCTGAATTTTTTCCACTGTATCCACACAGTACATTTTTTTTTTGTACCAGGGATTGAATGCAGGGTGGTTAAACACTGAGCCACATTCCCAGCCCTTTTTATATTTTATTTAGAGACAGGGTCTCTTTGAGTTGCTTAGGGCCTCACTAAGTAGCTGAGGCTGGCTTTGAATTTTCGATCCTCCTACCTCAACCTCCCAAACTGCTGGGATTATAAGCCTGTGCCACTGTGCCTGGTGTATACAGTACATTTTTTTAAAGCAAAGAGCCGCATAAGTCTGAACAGGATTCCAGCTGGTATGGTTAGCTAAAAAAAAAAAAGAAAAAACATCTTTTGCATTAGCCTAGCTCAGCTATATATTCTACACACTAGCTGTGTGACTTTAGAAAACGTAATGAACTTCTCTAAGCTTTAGCAATAATACTCACCTTGCAGGGCTGATTGGTGCCTGAAATGTGCAACATGATCAAATTACCATCAATAGTATCTCAAATTTCTGAGGTTTTGTTTCGGAGTTTTTTTCTTTCCTCTATCAACGTGCTTCACCCCAGCCCCTCAAATTCCTCTTTGAAGATGGGACACATGCCTGGAGAGAGCGGAGGCYGTTCCTAATCCTGAGTGATTAGGATGTGTATTTACCGATTGTGAGCTTTGCTATTCATGATGACTTCACATGTGAACACATCAACACAAATTAAAGCAGTTTGTGCTTTATTTTATTTATCGAAAAACCAATAAAGCCCACATGATTTTTTCTGCAGACTTTCTGACAATATTTTTGGCTAAAAATGCAAAAGCTGTGCTGCCCTCACCCCACCCGGTACACATGTCCTGCAGGTGAGGTTCCCACAGACTGGAAAGGGCCGCGGCGTTTCAGTAAGATCTCCCTCTGGTCCTCCGGGAGGCAGTACCCATCTCAGAGAASCCACTAAGACCCCAAATTGATTCTCTCCTGAGAACAAAGCCTCCAGTTCTGCTTTGAGAAAATCTGACCTTGTCTCACCTTCATTCCTCTTCCTGCATCAGCAGTGATTCTACCTGTAGCTGTCCCAGGGACCGCTCAGGAGGGACCAACACCAAGCTCGCCCCTCACCGTGAGGTCTTAGACATGACTGTCTTCAAAGTGTATCGACACACACACACTTTTCTACATTCCTTGAACTAAGAAAAAAGATGTGCAAAGAGATCACCAAATCAAATAGCTTTAGTTTGATCTGAAATCCTGGGAAAACACACACAAGTGCACACACTGGTATTTTAGCAAAAGAGAACTGTTTGTTCCAGTTTGGGTTCTGAGTGCAGTTGGTGGCTTAGGACTTGCTAATCAAATCTGAGAGATGTTTTCACATCCCACACTTGGCGTCACTCCAGGCTTGACTGCGTCGGTGACAGAGCCGTCTGGGGAAGACGATTCTTGATGGCCATCTGTGTGAGCAGCCCTCCTGCGGGCCGGGAGAGATACTTGAGACCTGGAAGCTGGCCGGGGAACCAGGCGGTGGCYTGAAATTTGGCTTCTGCCTTGTTAATAAATGGATGGTGATGTGGGGCAGGGCTGGACAGACCCATGAAGACAGCAGGGGACAGGTACAGCTGAGTGTCAAAATTGTTGCCGTGTGCCATTGTAAAAGGGCGAATGTCAAAGGACATCTTAGGATTCCTCAGACAAGGCCAAGGGCAGTGCAGGGTCAACACAGTTTTCTCTCCTGGGCTCCTTTCTCCTCATCTTGACTACAGTGCTTGGCCCTGTCTCCTCCGTGCCTTTCCCATCTCTACCCTGCTTGAGTCTCCTGCAGAGGCAGCCCGAGGCAGCCCCTGCTTCTCCTGTCCCCTCCTTCCCCCTCCCTTAGCAGCCTGTCACAGCCAGTCTTAACAGTTCCCTCTCCACAGCCTTCAGGACAGATGGACACTCCACTGACAAAAGAGAGGGAGCCATGTGTCCAGTGACCCTGTAGATGGACCTGTCACCTCGCCCTGGCTGGTCTCTCCAGCCCGACACACTGCACTGCCCAGCGTGTCGTTCACGGCTTGTCATTGTCATGCATGCTCTTTCTCTGCCGGGAATCCCTTCTYCATCCCGCTCCACCCAGCTTGCTGCATCCAGGACCTTTCACACACAACTGGGGGCACCTACAGGGAAGCCTCTCCTGACATCCTCCCACCAGCTAACCCAGGGGCCTGCCCTTGGAGGGTTCCATCTCTGTGTGTCCCAACACGGGTTCCCTGCCTTGCCTGTGACCACCATGATCCATTTTCTGATGATCTTTGTTACAGGAAATACGTAAGGAAAATCTATTTTTTGAAAGCATCTCTCTCTCTTCTCTCTCTCTCTCTCTGTCTCTCTCTCTCTCTCTCTCTCTCTCTCTCTCACACACACACACACACACACACACACACGTGAACACACATTTAACCTGCTGCTCTATGCTCTAGCAAGGACAAAGTGGCCTGGCATTACCAGTGCCCCCTGTGAGGTGGTGGTGGTGCAGGAAGGCGTACTGGCCGGCCCACCTCATTCCTGCCTGTCCCTGCAGGTTGCACCCGGCCCTGTGCTCCACGCCTCTCCTCTCCTGTCCCTGACCGTCCTGTTTGTCTGACTCTGCAGGACTTGTCCTACAAGGACCGCCACTGGCACGAGGCCTGTTTCCACTGCTTCCAGTGCAAGAGCTCACTGGTGGACAAGCCCTTCGCGGCCAAGGAGGACCAGCTGCTCTGCACAGACTGCTACTCCAACGAGTACTCGTCCAAGTGCCAGGAATGCAAGAAGACCATCATGCCAGGTCAGCACGCGCTCCTCTCTCTCAAAGGAAGTGAGGGTCCCAGGCCCTGGTGTGGACCCCRCAGTGCTGTCCCTTGACTTAGGGAGGTGATTAGAGATTTGGGAAGCAGGGATGGAGGCCGGTCATTGGGAGGAGACGAATCTTCTGTCGGTACGTGTGGGATCGTTTATGTGGCCCATCTGTAGAGTCATTCCTCGGTATTCATAGGGGATGCGTTTCAGAACCCTCCGGAGACGGCGACATCCCTGATGCTCCAGTCCCCTATATGCAATGGTGTAATACTGCACAGCCCCTGCTCACGTCCCCTGTRTACTTTCAATCATCTCTAGATGACTCATAACACCTAGCGGCGCTACACAAAGAGTTTTATACTGCATCATTTAGGGGATGACCACGAGAGGGAAGTTCATATGTGTCCAGCACTGATGCCATTTTTTTTCCTGAGTATTTCTGATCCATGGGAAGGCATGGACACAGGGCTGACTGCAGCAAGAGAACGCTGGGCTTCCCCCCAAGCCTCCTCCTTCAGCCTCACCTTCCACTAGCAGATATGCTTTCTCCTTGCTGAATTTGTATTCACTCAGTTATTGCAGCAAGTAGTCATTGAGTTCTGGTGTGTTCAGGGCCCTGGGCCGGGGCGGGGCGTACATGAGTTGTGGGTGGGAGCCCCACCGTCCTCTGCCCTCCTGGAGCTGGTGTGTGGAGCCAGTGTGCTGACGGACATCAGAAAGGGCAGAGCCACAGCCAGGTCAAGAGCGAGGGATGTGATCAAGTGTATTGTTTGTGGGTGGGGGAGGATAAGTATATGTCCCTTGGTTTTCTGAGGGGAGAAATTGTTAGTTTTGTTTTGTTTTGATAGTGAGAAGAGGAATTTTTTGTTTAAAAAAATGAACAAAATATAGGATTTTTAAAATAAAGTATTACAAAGATAAATCCTTTCAGATACATATGAAAAATGAGGGTGAGGGAGAGTAGCTCATTGAAGAACCTAAGATCTTGACCTTGGAGACTGACAGAAAGGTAGTCTGTGGCTGTTAACTAAGGCTATGTGCCATCAGGACATCCTTTGCATGACCAACGAAAGGGTGACCTATGGGTAGAATTACCTCGTTTTCATCAATACAAACGCAGAACACCAGTTAAATCTGAATGCCAGGGAGCTTGTTCATGTGGATCCCACTTGAGACCTATTTAATTTGAGATCCCTACGGGAGAGCCACACAGAGCCAGCAGAGAACCTCTCTTCAATGGGWTGTCCTTAGGAAGTGTGGCCCTTCACTAAGTTTCTGAGGCTGGCTTTGAACTCATGATCCTCCTGCCTCAGCCTCAAGCTGGTGGGATTACAGTGTGTGCCCCTGTGCCCGGTGGTGAAAACATAGTTTTAAAGAAGTTCAGTTCACTCTGTCAGTAAATGGAACCAAACAAAAAGTTCCCTTAAGAGGATTTTCGTTTTGTTTGTCTGTTTGGTGAAACAGGGTCTTGCTCTGCTRTCCAGGCTGGTGTTGAATTCTTGGGCTCAAGCAATCTGCCTGCCTCCACCTGCCCAGTAGCTGGGACTAGAGGCTCTATGCCTGACTTAAAGGGGTTTTAAATATTCATTACATCAACGAATGCAATAATAAGATGTGTAAGAAGAACTGGAGTTGAGGACCTTGAGTTGGTAGCTTCAGTACAGCCGATGGTGATCTGGAATACCAGCGTAGCCATTCGAATGGTCCTGACATCCAGGAGCTGAGTTCCATGGACCTGCGAAGAAAATTGAGCTCAAGGGAATTAAGGGCAGACATGTTAGGAGACTCTAACCCACAGCAAGAATGTTGAGTTAGGTGAGTTGACAGAGTTTATGCAAAATTTAATGAAACCTTGGTCTAAAGAGTAAATTAACCTTGTGATTCTGAGGGAATTTGGAGTTGAACCCCCATCCTTTAGTGGAGACCCTGACTGCCAAGCTACACAGTTTCTGTTTTATTTTGAGTTGGCTTTGTTTTTTGGCAGTGAAGAGGTACTGGAGAGTTGTGAGAGACTGACAGATGGGAAGTATTTTAGGAAGATACATTGGATAAGAAGTTATAATTTTTTAAATGGAAATAATTAGGCCTTCAGGCGAGGGTCTACTCCATTTCTCTGGCTAATGCAACTTGAAAATAATGATGACGTGCTATGACAAGGATCAGAAACGCCCAGCCTGCTGTGGGAGAGGATGGAGCCGCGAGGAGGCCTCGGAAGATGGAGATGACAGGCAGGAAGGCCCCTTAGAGTGGCCCCGCTCTGCAGATGTTAGACACTCGGGGCCCMAGGGCAGGGCCAAGTGGAAGGACAAGGGCAGCCTGTAGGAGCCTGGCCAGCTGTGGCCTAGCCCACGGGGAGCCCTGAGCAGGACACAGCCGTCCTGCAGTAAGAAAACCCATGGCACTCACTGGAAGACAAACGAAATCTTTACTGGTTTTCTTGACAAGAGCCCAAGGAGGCGTCCACTGAGGACTCATAGCAAACTTCTTGAACTCCTCGTCCCTCTCCATTCCACGGCTCCCAGATTCTCCTCCCCTAGTGCGCTCCCCAGGGTCCAAGTGCCCCCGCTGGCTGGTGAAGGCTTTCTGGCTTTGTCCTCTCTGTTCTACTTTTTTTTTTTTTCCTTCAGTATCCTTTTTTGTAGTAAATCCTGCCTGCCCTCCACCCCCATCTTCTCCCCATCCCCAGGTCCTTCCTTCCCCTTCCTGGGGACCAGGTCATGCTAGGGCTCTTCCTGGGTTGGAGAGGTGAGGGAGGCCCTGAGCCAGGCGGCTGGAGACTGGTTCTAGGGAGCAGGTGAAGGTGCAGGGACCAGCTGGTGTCACCAGATGTTTGTCTGGGCTTGCTCGACACACTCCTTTAGAAGTGTTGTGTGTGTGTGTGTGTGTGTGTGTGTGTGTGTGTGTGTTGGAACCCAGGGCCTTGCACACGCTAGGTAAGCTCTGTACCCCTGAGTCACACCCCTAGCCCTCAGGGAAGGCGTTCACTGCCCACTGAGCCGTGGTGACCACACGGTGCATGTGTTAAGAAGGGGCCTCCGTGAGGCTCCTTTCATGAGAACATAAAAGCATTTGCCATCTTCAGCTTAAATGAAATTAAAGGCCCCTCAAGGTCCACCTACCTGTCTCATCCTACCAGCGAAGGATCCAGGAGTGTAAACCCTGTCCATCTCTCAGCAAGCTTTGCTGCAGGCATAGAGGTCTGAACCTCACCAGAACAGAAGAAGGAGAAAGTGCGTCCCTCCCGATGAGCCAAGGTGCTTCCCTGTACAGGTAGACGGCGGAGGGGGAGTCCCGCACGGTGTGTCGGTGTGTCGGTGGAAGGCTCACGCATAGGTCTGGAGTGCCTCTCAGTGGGGTCCAAGTGCACTGGCCCTTGTTGGACTCCCCAGGAGCTAAGTAGCTTCAGCCAGTGGCAGCTGCTCAGGCCCTGGTCTCCCCACCTGAAGGAGGACACATGCTCCCAAGACATTCCTCGGTTCTCTTCCTCATTACCGGACGCCCCCGCCTGCCAGTCTGAATTACTGTGAATTCAAAATCCGCCCAACAGATGTGACTTCGGGGCATTATGGTATTGCACACCACCTGTGGCCACTCAGGACGCCCCTCTGGCGTTTGTGTCCTTGGTGATGAACGCGCAGGCCGCAGGGGAYTGGAGCCAGTTTGGCCTTGTGTTCCCACCGGATCCTTGTCCTGGCCTTCACACCAGCTCCTCTTCCCTGGACTCCGCTCTCTGGGACAGAGTGGAAATGGCGGTTGTTACTTTTCAGCTCTCTGGTTTTGGAGCTGGGACTTCCCTGGTTGCTGACTTGGATGAGATTCCATTTTCCTCCTCACAAGGTAGAAGGGACACATCTCCTGGATCTTGGCATTTTCCCCCGACTTGGCCTTCTCTGTTAGGTTCTGTGGAGAAACAACCAATAAGAGATATATTCACACTCACACACGTGTGTGTGCAGAGAGGTCGATTTCTTTCAAAAGACTGGCTCACACAATAAGGGGGTGGGGTCTGGAAGGGCAGGCTGGATGGCTGGCAGYCTAGGGAAGAATTGATGCTGCTGCTCCAAATATAGGTCTTCAAGGCAACAGGCTGGAAACTCGGGCCAGGGAGATTCTGGAGAACAATTTCTTCCCTTGGGGAAACCGTCATTGCTAGTGAGACTTCAACTGATTAGATGAGGCCCCCCCCACCATGGGCCTCACTCTGTCTATTGATTGTAAATGCTAATCACATGGAAAAAACACCTTCACAGCAACACTGCTAGTGTGACTTTTGCTTTTCATTTTGCTTTATAATAGATAGGTTTCACCATGTTACTCAGACTAAGCTCAAGTGATCCTTCTGCCTCAACCTCCCAAGTAGCTGGGACTAGAAGCACACACATACCACTGGACCCAGCTAAGACTTTTTTTTTTTTTTTGGTACAGGGGATTGAACTCAGGGGCACTGACCATTGAGGCACATCCCCAGCCCTTTTGTATTCTATTTAGAGACAGGGTCTCACTGAGTTGCTTAGWGCCTCACTTTTGCTGAGGCTGGCTTTGAATTTGCAATCTTCCTGCTTCAGCCTCCCAAGCCACTGGGATTATAGGTGTGCACCACTGTGCCCAGCTAGACTGCTTTTTGAGCAAACAACCAGGTCTCATACTTTAGCCAAGCTGACATATAAAAATCAATCATTGCACCTTCCATTTCTCATGGGGTTTACTGGGAAGAGGGAAAAGCAAAAACCATGATCTGATCACAGATTAAAAAAGAACACTTCGGCAACTCTGAGGTGAACTAAACAGATATCTTAGGAAGTAACTGCCCTGCAGTCTGTTCTGTTAAGGAAAAAGAGGAGCTGGGCTACGAAATTCTCAACTTCAGGATCAGTGGTAGAAAATGCCAGATGGCAATGATAACAGCGTAACCAGAGTCCCACCCTTGGCCAGGCACATCCCTTCTGGAGTCCCATGTCATCTTCACAGAGTCTCCTGAGCTGGACGGCTTGATCCCTGTGTTGCAGGTACCTCTACCAGGAGAAGTGGGCTGAGCTCCAAAGGCAGGGTGTCTAGAAAGTCTGGGGTGTGCAAAAAAAACAAACACCAGATTAAAGCACTTGCTTACCTTGGTTTGTTGTTTGTTCTTTGCTACCAGGGATTGAATCCAGGTCACTTAGCTACTGAGCCCCAGCTTCAGCCCTTTTTTATTTAGAGATGGGTCTCACTGAGTGCATATGGCCTTGTTAAGTTGCTGAGGCTAGCTTTGAACTTGCAATCCTCCTGCCTTTGCTTCCTGAGTTCCTAGAATTATAGGCATGCACCATCATTCCCAGTGACTTGATTTTTAAAAGACCATTGGAGGGAAAGTAATCCTAATTCCATTGCACAACAGGAAAACTATAGAACTGATATTTGGGGAGACAGAAATGCCAACTACCCTGATTTGATTGTTCTTCACTTTTTTCATGTATCAAGTTATAATACTGTACCCTCTAAATAAGTACAAATAATTATATGCCAATTAAAAAGTATAAATTTAAGCAGGGCATGTGGTACACACCTGTAATCTCAGCAACGCAGGAGGCTGAAGCAGGAGGGTTACAAGTTAAAGGCCAACCTCAGTAAATTAATGAGTTCTTGTCTCAAAATAAAAAAGACTGGGGATGCAGCTCAGTGGTAAAGCACCCCTGGGTTCCATCCCCAGAACTCAAAATGATAATTTTATAATAATAATAATAATATGGAGAGCAGACAGATCATCAGCATAGCTTTTGCAGTGAATTTAGATTTAGAGGACAAGAGGCATGTCCCAAGTGAAAAATCTTCCCTGAGGGCCCCACACAAGCCAATCTCTTGATGACTAGGGAGGAAAAACCCAGTTCTGGGGTTCACCAGCTCTCATTATTCAAATACTGAGCCTCCCTTGGAGGACTTTTCTTGCAGATGTAATGCAGGCTCTGAGCAGGCTCAAGGGGGACCAGTGACTCTAATCTTGCACCCAAGTATCTGATTTTTCATTTGTTTGCTTGAATCAGAATGATACCCTTCCTCTAGCCTGCACTTTCCTGCCCATAGGCTGTTCTGAGCCCCATTCCCTTCTCAGGAAGAGCTCTGCTGCCACCTTCTGGCCATGTTGCATAACTGTACAGCACTGTGCCCACTGCAGTCAATGTGCAGTCACCATCTCCCTGGGCTCCAGGTGCCCAGTGAACCCCCTGCGTGGTCAGTTCCCAGGGCACTGGTGTTCACTTAAGATTTATTTTGGAAAATGCCAATAATTCACTTCAGTCAACTGTCCCCATGTTCACTGACAAAATCTTTTGGCTTCGGGTATACTTGATGAGAGTGAAGGTCCCACATTAAAAGAGCAAGTGACAAAAGTATGTATGGGTGAAGAAACCCCAGAGGCCAAGGAAAACCATTCTAAGGTGTGTGTTAAATTCCTCCCACCACCTTTACTGAATTTCAGTTGCTTAATGTGGTTTTTGTCTCAGGATCCATCCCGTGTTTGAATTCTATAGATTGTATACCTTAGCTTTGAAGATCATTACGGGTCATCTCCTGAGTTCCCTTCCACACACATCTCTGCATATTTTATATAATCTATGCAAGGCAGAACCCGGATGTCTGGTTTGGGGGGAATGGGAAGCTGAGAAAGTGGCCTGGGAATGACATGCAATGAAATGATCATGTAAKAATTCTCAGCACATTCCTAATTACCTGAGATGGGGCTGCCTCCTGACCAGACTTCCACCTGGCAGAAAGACAGGCCTGAGCTTACTGTTGGGACCATATCTATTATGTTTGGAGTTGGAGTCAGGGTCTCTTTCACAGACTCCTGTCCACTGCCTGCATTAGCTCAGTGCTTCCCCTGGTCTGGGACAGGCAGCTCCCTTCCAGGCTCGTCCTCCTCACTTCTGATGTCTGGATGGATGCACCCATCTTGCCTGGGTCCCCATCCTTCACCTGACCTGGGGTTGGCAAAATTCCTCCATCCAGGGCCAGATAAATGTCTTGGGTTTTGTAGACTATGCAGTCTCTACTCAATTACTKCTACTCTACACAACTGCACCACAGTACACAACTACACAACTGCTGTGCCAGTGGAGTCGGGGAAAGCCACAGAGTGGGTGCAGCTGCCTTCCATTCACCACCTCAGTGTATGGACCGGCTGTAGCTCAATGGTAGAGTGCTCGCCTAGCATGCTTGAGGCCCTGGGTTTGATTCCCAGCACTGCAAAATTAGTATCAATAATAATAAAGAATGATAAGAGCTCATTTAGAAAACAGCAGCGGTCTGGATTGGGCCCTGAGCTGCCCTGCCTCGCACATGGGAAGTACTTTTCTATCTCTTTATCCTTTACATTTCTTTTCCCGTCTTTTTTTAACTTCTGAAATTATATGAACAGCGATTACATGTATCTTCTATCTTGAATTGTATCTTTCCATAAGTATGCACTGTTTGGGGGAATGTATAAAAACGTGAGTCAACAAATGTTGTGAATGGTGGAGTGAGCCAAAAAACGTCTCTGCTCACTTGATTGACTTGGAGGAATGGTAGAACCCTATCAAATGATAATAGTTATTCCAAAGAGAACGGGATGGCACAAGATCAGATTAGAGGACTGCTAAGTGGGATGTAGATTTAAATCATAGCACATAGCACAGTGCATGAAACTACAAAGGTAGGTCACATCCCGATTCACACAACCAGAGGCATAAAGTGAGTGCTGGAGAAGGTCCTTGCTGAGCCAGGCTTGAGACTCCAGGTTCAGCCACCACACAGTCACTTCCACCTCTTTGAAAACCAGAGGGGCTTTTAATTCGTAGTCTGAAACAGGAGAATGCACAGTATTCCCTCTCATTCTCACGGTGTTATGTTTCAAAACCCCCAATGGATGCCTGAAATCATGGATAGCAGCCAACCCCAAATATACTATCTATTTTTACTATAGATACAAAGCTATCATCAAAAGTCTAGGGGGCTGGGGTTGTGGCTCAGCGGTAGAGCACTTGCCTTGCATGTGCAAGGTCCTAGGTTTGATCCTCAGCACCACATAAAAATAAATAAATAGAAATAAAGGTATTGTGTCCAACGACCCCTAAAAAATAAACACACACACAAAAAGAAGTGGTCTTGCTTTAATATTAAAGAAAAGTCTAATTTGTAAATTAGGCAAAGTAAGTGTGTCACAACAGTAGCTAATAATTAAATAATTATTAGCTACTGACTAATGGGTGGATGGCATATACAGCATGGATACTCTGGTCAAAGGGGTGATTYACATCCTTGGCAGGACATGTGACATTTCAGTATACTACTCAGAGGGCTGTACAATTTAAAACAACTAAATTGTTTGTTTCTGGAATTTTTCATGTAGTATTTTCAGACTGAGATTGACCATAGGTAACTGACACCAAAGGAAGTGACTTTCCAAGTAAAGTGAAGTATTCTAAGTCATACTCCATAAGAACTGGAGGGTGTGCTGTGTCAGACTTCTCTGTTTACAATGCCAAGAGAGACTTTTTTTTCATTTAATATTCCCAACCACCATATTTAACAAATAAATGTCAAGTACATACTAAGTACACATATTGTTCTAGGATCTGGGTGTATGGCAAACAAACAAAAGAAAGGCAGAGTCCTTATTCTCCACAAAATAGGAATTATCCACAGTTAGAGGGGAGCCAAAGAGCTGAAGTGACTTGCTCCCATCTCAAACCAGGTGGCAGCAGCCTGTGAAGGCAGAGGATCAGAACTCCAGGCCAGGCTATAACCATGCTGTTTTCTTTTGACTCTGACAATAGGTACCCGCAAGATGGAGTACAAGGGCAGCAGCTGGCATGAGACCTGCTTCATCTGCCATCGCTGCCAACAGCCCATAGGAACCAAGAGTTTCATCCCTAAAGACAATCAGAATTTCTGCGTGCCCTGTTACGAGAAGCAATATGCCCTGCAGTGTGTTCAGTGCAAAAAGGTATCTTGAGTTCCCCCTTGGGCCTTGCATGTCCTAGCTGGTTTGCCTCGGTGGCCTTCTGTCAGGTCTCCCCTTACGCAGTACCTAAGTGGCTTCGGATTGGTGTTGGTCCTGCCTTACAGCTGAATTCTCATGTGCTCCCGTGCCTTTTATCTACTGGATCTGTGTTCAGATCCTTCTTTCAAAGACGTGAGCACTGATGCTTTCTGTGATTAAAAATCCTTTAGCTCTGCTTTGCAGAATGATTCCAAAAATGTACTTGATGTTAGAGGGAAGGAGATCTGTCTTTTTAAAGCTGATCTGGAATAAACAAGAAACCAGCTGCTCTATTTGAGAGAGAACAAGATGGGGGGGGGGAGGAGGGGATGGGAGATGAGGAGGGAAGAGGGAACAGAAGGAAAGAAAGGAGAGAGAAGATGTAGAAGTAAAGGAGAGAAGAAGGTGTACCCATGGTCAGGGGACAGATCGGTTATTGAACTGAATGTGTTCACTGACTGGAGAATCTACATTGAAACCCTTAAGTTCAGCACTCCTTTCTACATTTGAAACATGTGAAAAAAAATTGTGGGGGGAGCACTGGCCCCATGTCTAGCCCCTCTCTTTGGCCTGGGCATACCTGCTAGCTCTGCCATTGTGCTGCTGGGAGGGCACCCACTGATTCTGCACAGTGTCATCTTTCAGGTACATGAAGAATTGAACCTCTTGATTTGTGTGGTTGTGGGGGTTTTTCTGGATCAAGCAAATAGTGAACCATTTCCACAGGTGACCAGCTGTGGACAGGAAGCACTGTTCTTCTCTTCATCCTTAGATTGAACTCTCATGGCTGGTTTTATGCTGATTCCTCATCTCTGTTCACCCCTTTTATTCTTCTCCTCAAGATCCAAGGGCGGTTTTGATTTGCTGGCTCTTGCTGTCATCCTGCCCAACATGGGATCTGCTCAGTTGCAGTCATGACAACACGCCTTTGTGTGCATGTTCGTTAAACCCACAGAGAGCACCCACCCAGAGCTGTCATTCCTCAGGCTATGAACAAGGCCCCGGGGCACCAGGAATCACTTGATATCCAGCAGTGATCACACTGTACTGTCCAACCCAGGGGGTGTTTTCTGACACATGCTGGTGGAGGGGAATGGAGTATTAACAGAGTGGGTGACAAGAGGACCCTGGCTCACGTGAGGAGAGTGCACCAGGTGGTGCTTGGGGAATGACTCTCTGAGAAAGCAACACTGAGGCCGAGATGCATCTGAATTAGCTGATGGACATGGAAAGCAATGGAGGGCCCAGAATCCAGAGCTGGGGAGGGAGCACCTAGGGAGGAGAGCTGTCATGCATCCCTCTGTCTTCCCCTAGAAATATCCAGACCAACCATGTTTCCATAAATCCTTTCTGGGGATGGGAGTCACTTATAGGCAGATTATTTATGATTCATGAATGAATGAAAAGAATAGAGGATAGAAGGGAGTCCTGAATTCTAATTCCTGCCTTGTCATTAACCAACTATGAATGAATTCTTGAGCAAGTCACTTATAAATTTCTCTGAGTCTCAGTTTATTCATCTGTAAAAGGAAGAAGTATCTCTTCCTTCAAAAGCCTTACATAAGGACCAAAGGAGTCTCCCAATTCTGTCACACTGTTCAAAAAATAAAAAGGGCAGAAAGGCAAATCTGGGGTATTGTAGTTTTTCTGCGCTGTCTTCTGCTGCMGTGGATCTGTGGCACTGAGACTTCACCGGGACACCTCTGATATCTCACTCCATTATTCATCCATTGTTTACGTGAATATAAAAAGCAACATTTGGAGGAAAATACTAGATAAAATTGAGGCATTGATGACCAGTTCACTAGTTTGCAGCTTCTTCTCACAAATGGTCTGAGGCTGGGAGACAGGCTGGGGACAAAGTCTTTGGGCCTATTTTTCCCAAAGCTTCCAGGATGCTGGTCCCTTTATGTGGCAGCTGCAGGTGGTGTCTGGAGACTTTTATCTCTTCTTGTTCCACAGCCCTTCTTGCTGAATGGGCTGAACTGTAGAGCACTGTGGGAAGAGGAACAAGGCCAGGTTTTGAGGCCACTCCAGAGATCCTCTCCTTTGTCCTCGGCACCCCTCTTCATCGATGAGAAAACTGAGGTGCTGAGCTCTTGAGCCATGACTTGCCCCCAGCCACAGGGCTGGTGAGGAGTAGGACTGGGATTCAGACCCCAGTGTCTTTGATGTGGTCTCTGATCACGACCTCTCCAGCACACTGACTCCCTAGTTAGGGTGGTGGCAGTGCCCCTATGACATCTGTGCCTTAGGTCCTCACTCCCTGAAGAGCTGAGGACAGACACAGCAGGACCCATGTCACTAGCAGGAACGCCTGGGGCTACAGTGAAAGGACGTGGAGGGGTAACAACGGGGTGGAGTTTTACAGCTTTTTCATGGCTCTTAACAAACCTGATATTTTCTGGGTGTGATCTGCATCGTCCAGTGGCCACAGCAGAGGTGGATGTTTGGTGGGAACAGAGGCCACTAACTTTCCCCCTTGCTCCCCCAGCCCATCACCACAGGAGGGGTCACCTACCGAGACCAGCCCTGGCACAAGGAGTGCTTCGTGTGCACTGCCTGCAAGAAGCAACTGTCGGGACAGCGCTTCACAGCCCGGGACGAGTTTGCCTATTGCCTCACCTGTTTCTGCGACTTGTATGCCAAGAAGTGCGCAGGGTGTACCAACCCCATCAGTGGTGAGTGTCCCAGGAAAACCCACTGCCAGGGCATGGGCCATCAGCCTCACGGAGCCACCTGGAGGTTGAACTAAGCCAAGCACTTCAGCATGTGATGGTGTTGAAATCCTGAGACCCTCTGGGCCTCGCTGAGGTTCCGCACCTGCAGACCTGTCTTCCAAGCTTTCCTCTCCTTGGTCCAATGCTAATGCTCCAGCAGGTTCTAATGACTTCCTCCCTACAGACTTGGTCCCTGGAAACCATGTGGCCTGCTCTCAGGTTGATGGCTTTACTTTGGGTTGGATCTGCCACAACAGGCCATAAGTAGAGGACGGCAGAGGGCATGATCTTACTTTTTTTTTTTTTTTTATCATAGTTCTCAAAGAGTTTGGTAAAAACGAGTCTAAAATCTTGTTGGCTGGTAGACCAGGCAGTGGACTAAGCAATTAAACATACCAAAGAAATACAGGATGGAGAGCAGACGGCTTCAGACTGAAGTCCTTTAAATGTTTATCGTGTATCGTTACACCAATGACCAGTGGGGAGAAAAAGTGAGTTTTCTTTCATGGTGTAAGAAATGTTCCAGGGGCTGGGATTGTGGCTCAGTGGTAAAGCACTTGCCTAGCATGTGTGAGGTACTGGGTTCGATTTTCAGCACCACATAAAAATAAAAATAAAAGGTCCATCAACAACTAATAAAATATTTAAAAAAAAAAAAAGAAATGTTCCATATTGTGATTTTCCAACCCTACTCATTCAGTCAATGGTTACATCCCTACCACAGGAAGATGGTAGACATCTCTGGTACACAGAGGCCTGGCCACATGACTTTCCTGTGTGGCTTTGCAATGTAATTACACAAACAAATTCATGCAYCCCTGTTCCTATGCATTTTTCCTTGACTTTTCTTTTCCTCGAACCTACCACCAAGTTCACCTTTCTAGGTCACTAAAACAGTCCTTTGGTATATAATCCAGAGCTCATCATACTCCCAATTGAAATTAAAATATAAAGAAAAAATCACAGCACTTAAATTTTCCTATGTTAAGACATCCAGTTCTGGTCATTTATTTATGATATTTCTCTTGGAATCATTTAGAGGGGAAAATTCAGTTTTCTACCCTAACATCCTCATTAGGGAATGCTGTTTTCATAGTGGCTTCTGTCATTGTAAATGTTTATAAAACAAAACTTTCATCCACAGAAAAGCACTTTTGAATCCRATAACTAGATATGGATATTAACTGCAGTTATCATTACAGCATTGAAAGAAACAACACTAGGGAAAACAAAACAGAAAACTTTCCTCTAAAACAGAAAAATTAATTCTCTGAAAAGTAATGACTTATTTTCAAGGATATATAGATGAACTTTGCAGCTAAAATATACTTTTAGCCAGATTTTCATAGAACTGCAAAAGCTCAGAGCTTAGACTGTTTCATATAGATCCTTATTTTTTACTTTTCCTCTTTAAAAAAATTTAAATTATTTTTGTAAATAAATTGGAATTTGGTATTTTCCAACTTTTTTATGTGCAGTGATGCTTAATTCTCATATAAATATAGTTGATCATCATTATCAGAATCCAAACTTACAAACTTGCCTACTTGCTAAAAATTGATTTGTAACCCCAGATCGATACCTAGATGCTTTCATCCACAGACAGCACAGGGGAGTGACAAATTTGAGTTGCCAGACACACACATTCCCAGCTGAGGAATGATGCCTATCAGAGCTTAGATGATGCCCTGCTCTCTGGTTTCAGTGCTGATACTGCAAATAAGTGTCCTTTTCTCAGTCTTTTTTTTGTGTGTGTGTGTGTGTGTGTGTGTGATTTTTGTTGGCATCTCCACTGTCTAAAACGGGTTTCAAAGTTCTGTTTAGTGTCCCTAAGTATGAAAAGTCTGATGTGTCTTACACAAAGAAAATATATGTTAGATAAGCTTCATTCAAGTGCAAGTTATAGTACTGGACATAAATTCAGTTTTGATGAATTTGTACTATATAAATAAGAAACACACATAAAATAACATCATTTATTAATCAGTTGGTAAAAATACTGTGACCAGAGAAGCTAGCAGGAACGTAATCCTGAGAGTTTTCTTTGGAATAATGGTTCAGTATTTGATAATTCAGTGTTCAGAGACATTATGGGATATGACTCCTGTGAATAACCATGATCAATTGTACATACATCTTCCATTTAGGAGGTCTCTTTCCCATGGGGCTGATGTTGGCTCTCATGTCTATTTGCCAGCATTTCAGAACAACAGTGGAGTTTCTAGGATGACACTTTCTACCCTGCATGGCACCTGTCACATATTTTTTCGTCTTCCCCTCCCACTGCTAATCTTCCTCCTAGCCCCCAGCTCCATGATGTTGGGCTTATCAGGAGTGAGAGAAAGGAGAAACGTGGGATGTCAGTGTTGCTGGGGCATCTGAGAAGTTGTTTCTTGGCTTTGTAGCTCACTCAGAGTGGTTTATATGCCTAAAAGAAAAAGAACCACCTTCCAGGCCTACACCACTGGTTTTCAAGCTCAGCTGCATACTGCAAACTGCTGAGGAGGGTCAAAACAACTGATGATTGAATTGATATGAGCTGTGACCTTGGCACTGGAATTTTTAAAAACTTCCCAGATGGTTCTGATATGCAGAAAAGTTAGAACTGCTGGCCTAAAGTATCAGTTGAGTTCTGCCCTGGGCCAGTGCATGGGCTCTATGGTCTGTAGGTCTTTTATAGTTCTTATGAGTCTAGAATAAGGAAAGCCAAGGAATATTGTGGAAACAAACATTGGTTATTTGACATAACTGTTGTTTTGGGGGTGGGCAGGGTGTTTGGGTTCTCATGACCAATTCCAGGGCTTCAGTGCATGCTAGGCAAGTGGTCTACTATTGAGCTACATGCCCCAGCACCAGTAACTTTTATTTTTAAGCTCTATGATGTTTAAGAAAAGAGAGTTAGCAGGCTTTTCTGGTTTGCATTGCATCAGTAGCAGATGTACTGTAGTATTAGGGTACAAGARTTTGCAATGACAGGCCTGGATTCAAGTCCCAACCCTGTCACTCACTTGCTGGAAAGAGTAGCTCTAAGGCTGGTCTCCCCCATGTGAACTRGATGTCCAAGGTCAGCCTAAAGGCTTAAGTTGTAATAGAAACTACCTGACACAGTGTAGACTCTTCATGCACATCGAGGACTCAGACCATTAGAAATGAGTCATCGGAGCTGTTACTTTGTTTTTAATATGGCTGATCATACCATTATTTCTGAAAAGAACTCTAATTGGAATTCCCTATCTACATTTCAACAGATTGTAACTGTAACATAAGTTCTGTTTTATTTCAGGGTGGGCAACAGTGTACAAACCTCCTGCCCCTGATACCATAATCAGGGACCATTGTACCTTAAATATTTGATGGGGATTAGTCATCAAACACAAGTCAGGCAGTCAAACTGAAAACAAGTTACTACTTTTCTTGGTTAAAAATGTTGGGGCTGTGGCCCGGCACAGTGATGCACTCCTGTAATCCCAGCAAATGGGGAGGCTGAGGCAGGAGAACTGCAAGTTTGAGGCCAGCCTCAACAATTTAGCCCGACCCTTTCTCAAAATAAAAAATAAAAAGGACTGGGGATATAGCTCAGAGATAAAGTGCCCCTGTGTTAAATTCTCAGTACCGTATATATGTATGTGTATATATATATATATATATATATATATATATATATTCTCAGTAACACACACTCACACACACATTTTTTATATATTATATAGTATGTATATATAAACATGCATGCATACACACACACACACACACACACACACACACACACACGCATACATGGGGATGTAGCTCAGTGATAGAGCTCTCACCTAACATGCACAAGGGTCCTGGGTTCAATCCCCAGCACCACGAAAAATATAATAAAAATAGAATGTCTGCTCCCTGACACTTTTCATAATCTGCTCCAGCTGCGTTGGCCCCCTCTCCTACCATGGCACTTCACCTCACTAAGCCCCCTCTTTCCTCTGCCTGTTCTGCTAGCCTGTGCTTTCAGGGCTCATCTCAGCATCTTTGAGAACAACCATCCCCTCACTCCCATCTCTTCTCTGGGAGGCCTTTCTTGGCCATTCCAGGAAGAATCAACCCTTTCCTCTCCTAATTCCTGTTAAAACCTCATCTATTAAACATAAAGTGAGCACCAGACTTGAGGCACCCAGTGAAGGCAGGAGAGAAACTCTGCTCTCACAGTTCTGATTCCTGGGAAAACACGCAATAAACAAGTAAACACAGACAATAGGCACTTTTTTTCACAATGTTGCTCACACCTTTCAGAACCAGTTGCTGTGCCTGATTCTTCTGATACTTGTGAACTCTATGGGGCTGTGTGTAGCAGCTGATTAGATATGAATTCCCAGTTCACAGTGTCACTGGGCAAGAAAATCACTGTCACACGATGCCCATGTTGAAATGCATCAGCCTGGAATCCTTTTCCAGTGTCGGGTGCCGGTTCTCACCAGCTCACACTCCCTTCCCTCCTTCACCCTGTGTGCTGTCTCCTCTGTTCACAGGCCTGGGAGGCACGAAGTACATCTCCTTTGAAGAACGGCAGTGGCATAACGACTGCTTCAACTGTAAGAAGTGCTCCCTGTCCCTGGTGGGGCGAGGCTTCCTCACCGAGAGGGACGACATTCTGTGCCCTGACTGTGGGAAAGACATCTGAAGGACCCATGGAGGCTACAGCTTGTGATTTCACACAAATTTATGTATTCTCTTTCTCCACCAAGCAATAGTTCTGGTTCCCACAGCCACCTCAAGATTTTCCTCTTTCACTTTCAGTGATCTTCATGTTTGTTTAAATCCTTTAATCCTTACGCTAGTTCAATGGAGGGAAGGAGAAAACCCTTCTGTAAACTCTAGGTGGGAAGATGGTTTGGAATTTTTGTAATCAAGTGAGACAAATCCAAGCATAAAATTCCTTTTGAACGCTATCTTTATAAATGCATCTTTCTTTCACTGCTATTTAATTTTTAAGTGCAATTGACATGTCACAAACTTGAAAGTTTTCCAAACTATAAATAAGGTAAAGAAGAGTTTGTATTTGCAACTCTGTAACTTCCTGTCATCTAAAGCCTAAAAGCAAGATTATGTGACTTACAATAAAGTTAATCAGAATAAAATCTTTTGCCAGAGACAGTGTGTGAAATGATTAAATGCTGAGTTTCTGGGTCTAAGTTACACTTTATCCCATGGTCCAGTGATCACTGTATGAAGCTCAGCTTCTAATGGGCTGGGCCAGTACTATCTGAAATGACATCATACCATCTATTTAGAAGAAGCCTTCAATCGGCACCATATTTTCCCTTACAGTCTCAAGCACTCTTTTTCTTGGAATATAATGCTTGCCCTTTGATGCAGTAACATATGCTCTGGACGAGTGGAATAGGAGGCTAATGACAGTCAAGTCAATTTTAGGGTTACTTCTACTGGGAGAGCTCTGCTTTGTTTCATTGTCCTGAACCTGYCTTCTCCACCACAAAGTGCAGGAACACAAAAGGACACAAGCAACTTGAGGCCGGAGACAATATCTTATTCATCTTCACATTCTCAATGTCCTGGGCACTCTGGGAACCTTCAGCATTTCTGAAAAGATACAAAAGACAGAAGACAGAGACAAAGACGGAGCCAGTGTTGTAAAAATAACCCTCCGAGCTCTTTGTTCGTCGGTAATGTGTAAAATAAACTTTGATAGCACAGTACACATTTGGGAAGCATTGAGTCACTTTATGGCATACAGCATTGCACATTTAGCTTTGGAATGGTAGCATTAGTGACCTTTCATCCTTTAGTTTTCTAAGATAATGCAATGTGATAAAATTATAAGCTGTGCAACAGAAAAATCCAGGGGGTGGCAGTATTGTTAGACATACTTGCTAAGCTGTGAAATGGGTCTTCTGGATTTACAGTTGACTTGAAGTTTTTGCTTTAAAAGAATAACTCTAGGGGCTGGGGATGTGGCTCAAGCGGTAGCGTGCTTGCCTGGCATGCGTGCGGCCCGGGTTCGATCCTCAGCACCACATACCAACAAAGATGTTGTGTCTGCCGAGAACTAAAAAATAAATATTAAAAATTTAAAAAAGAAAAAAGAAAAAAAAATAAAAGAATAACTCTAATCTGGGCATGGTGGTATACCATGCTGGGATTACAGAATCCTAACAAATTGGGAGACTGAGACTAGAGAATTGCAAATTTGAGGCCAGCCTTAGCAACTTAGCCAGGCCCTATCATAGCTTAGTGGTAGAATATTCCTGGGTTCAATCTCCCCCGCCCTCCCCCCCACACATAGATAACTCCATCCCTCATCAATTGTAATGTCATTTTCTACCTCATAATATAAAAGTAAAAGCACTCCAGATTTCATTACAGAGCATCTTACCCACTCCTCACCATCTTACCTGATCCAAAATTAAGGGAGTTCCATTTTGAGTAAAAAGTTTCAACCGGACTAATCATCAAATAATCATTTTGAACAAAAATATTTTGGAACACTGGAGTTTAATCCAAAGCAGGCAGACATTGAAGGGAAGCGAAATCTTAGAATAAGAGAATGGTCCTGTTTTTATGGCTATAGCAGGTCCCAGTGAAACAGCTAAAACTCTTGTTAGCAAATCTTTAGCCTCACAGGCTTGAGGAATCAGAGGCCAGAGTTTGGGATAAAGAGCTCCTGGAGTATGAAAGAAAAGTCCTGGAAAAAAAAGAGCCCCAAGTTCTCTGAACCATCTACAAATTTCTGGTTATAGGCCAGACACCAAACAGCCCTGCCAAGCGAACATACTTATTGGGTGGGACTTTAGGATTGGTGATGTGCAGAGCTCAGGTGACTCTCTTCCTGCTGTGAAATGATAGACATAAAAACCCATCACTTCTCTGAAAGTTTCCCTAAAGGCATACAACTGATAGAGAAACATGAATTCAGGGAAATCTTCTACTCTTAGCAAGCAGTGACAGTCCACAGCATTGGGGCCACACCTGGCCCTAACCCATTCCCACTCCCCAGCCTCATGTGACCAGCTCTGTGTGAGTGCAGCCAAGAAGGTAATGGCTCCCTCTGCCCCRGGAGAGACAGGCTGAGAATCCTGGGGTTCGAAACGCCCTGGTCCATTCTGCTCATAATAGAGGTTCCATATTGGAAGGAGCAATCTGAAAGACCAAAGCTATCAATCCACTCACTGAGAAGGGACATAACTGCAAAGCCCAGGGTGGAAGGGAACAGGGTGGGGGTTGGGTTGTGATAAAGAGGTAGGCTCTGCTGAGGCTGGTTTCAAACTTGCAATCCTTGGTCTCAGCCTCCTGAGCCTAGGATTATAGGTGTGTACCACCACACCTAGYTTAGCTCAGCAGCTCTGCCTGAGGAGACTGATATTTGGTACCAAGCTCTGAGAAATCTGCCTAAGGGGATTGTCAAAAGCAATACAGATTTGCTGGCCCAATTAAGTAGGGGTTGATAACTCTTTGATAGTTGTGGGAAATGTGGCAAAATGAAAGACCATCCTAAACTTTTAATTATGGGTTGCCAACCTATAACAGAACATTTCTAACATTTCAGAAGGTTCCTTTGTGTTCCTTCCAAAAAGGTAACTACTAGTCTCACTTCTGTCACCATAGTTCAGTTTTGCCCATTTTGTGCACTTTTTTTTGGCATATGTTCTATAATTAAAAAAAAAAAAAACAAAACTTTACAAACTGTATTGCTTTACAGCCTATCAGAATTTGCTCTTTATTTCAGCATTTTAAAAGTAATTGTGACCCAGTGTCTCTACACTTAATGCTCCTTTAAGTTTAATATTTTTCATCAAATTTGAGAATGTTTTCAGCCATGAAATTCTTAAAAATATTTTTTCTCGTCCATTTTTCTCTCCTGGCAGTTCCATTTTGCCTATGTTGGTATGTTTAATGTTGTATCACATTTCTCTGAGGTTCTGTTCACTAGTCTTTGTTCTTTCTTCTCTGTTAGATTTCATCATCTGTTGTCTTCACATATTTTTTTTTTCCTTCTCCCAATTCATATCTACTCTTGAGCACAACTAGTGCATTTTTCATTTCAATTGGTGTACTTTCAATTCCAGAATCCTATTTGATTCTTTTTTGTACTTTGTTATTTTGTTTGGTAATTATCACACCTCCGATTCTTCAAACATAGAACTAAAGGATTAGTTCTTTTAATACATACGTTAATGTTTGGCCAGTGTTTGGTGAGAGGTTCTACTTATTAAGCACTTTGAGTCAGTAAGACTTCTGCCTTTGCTGATGGATCCATGTGAGAATCAAAGGTGCTTTCAAGTCCACTCTGCATCCCACTCTGGTTGCTTCTTAGGTGCAGCACAGTTTATGCACAATCTTTTGGACCCTTTCAGGGGTCTCTATGAGCTAAATCCTGCCCACTACCTGTTTTCTTAAAAAAAAAAAAAAAAAAAAAATTGTATTGCCATACAGCCATGCCTTTTCATCTATGTACTGGGGGTGTGTGAATACATCAAACATATGTATTTTCACCAAGCTGTATAAGTTAATTTTTATTGGGGTATAAGTTAATTTTTTAACTTATACCCCAATAAAATAAATCAAAATATGTATGTTGTGCTTTTTTAGTTTCCTGTACTGGGCAGTCATTTTAAAGCTTACCTTTTTTTCTCTATACACAGCGAGTAAACGTGTTTGATCTTCCTTGATCTTCTCTTGATTACTCTCCCATATATGAAAACTTCATGAATATGTCTCTACTGCATGTTTCTGCAGCAGGTCACACTGGATACATTGCCTCCTTGCATGCTTAATTTTGAATTGTGTTAATCATTGCCTTTCCCCTCACCTCACCTCCCCCATCCCATGGGACTAAGAATGGAACCCAGGGCCTTATTTATATAAGCGCTCCACCACTAAACGACATCACCACCCCTGTTAAATTTTATTTTGAGACAGTCTTGCTAAGTTGCCCAGGCTGGCTTCAAATTTGCAATCCTCCTGCCTCGGCCTCCTGTGTAGCTGATTACAGGTGTATGCCACCATAGCCAGCTAATCTCTGCCTTCTTAAGATTCTCCATGGGTGTCTACTGAGACTTAGAATGAGGATGTCTTCCTGCAGTGGTGATTTTTTTATTGCCTGTGCTAGCGTCTTAGACTGATGAGGGGACTGGAACTACTCCCAAGACACATCCTGAGACACTTTTACCATTCTTAGTGATGGAAATTTTTGGCTCAGATTCTATGATAGCCTGCTTTCAAACCACCTCATCTTTCTGCTTTCCTTTTTTATTCTCTTGCTACTTTCCTGTTTTTTCTTCTTCCACTTTCTTTTCATCCCTCCCTCATAGGTTTTGTTCTAATTCACTCATCCTATGTGGTACTGTCCTTTGAAGTCATACCTAGCAGGTTCTGTCTTGGAGGGCTGAACTTTCATTTCTGTCTCCCTTATAGTTTGGACAAAGAATCAAAGAAAATGGCCTACTTTGTGTTCTGGCTTTCTCTTAGGTTTTGCCTATAAGATCTTTGGTGCTTTTATGATTTAAATATATACATATTTTTTTTTCTAGTATAATTGTTCCTTACATTTAAGAAGTCAGAGCAAGGCTTTTACTCTGTTTAACATATGAAAAACTTAACTATAAACATTGTACTAGTTACTTCCTGTTACACATTCTACAATTTTAAGATTTACATTGATTTTTCTCAATCTCAGCTTCTTAAACTATAATTTA